CCGCCAGTCCCACAGCCGCTCAGACCCAACCAAGTAAACACAGAGACTTATATTGCTTACAAACTGTATGGCCGTGGCAGGCTTCTTGCTAACTGTGCTTATAGTGATGCAGTTTTCTGCTTGGCTAAGTTCTCCTGCTCATCTCTGTTTGCACAGCTCATCAGTGGGATCCAGTTGCCTGTCAGCTTGTTCCCTGGCAAAGATGACACATTAGTGATCGTGGAGGTGTACGGTGTTCCAAATGACCACATAAAACACCAGACTCGTGTTGTTAAGAAAAACGGTGAGCTCTTTCACTACTTAGAAAAAATTTATTTTTTTTCAGAAACAAATTCTTAGAAAAAATTTAATTTAAAAGTAATTTCTTCAGAGAGAATGTTGGTTATACCTCTGGGTTTTGTGGGAATGTCTCTGAGGAAATTCGGTTTGGTTCATCAGACTTGAGCTCCTGCTTTACTAAAGCCTCGTGATTTTTAGAAGCACCAGAAGATGGCCATAGGAAAAAGCATAGACTTTTCCACAGTTGGGGATAGGGGAACTTAAGGGAGAAAGAACAACATGACTCTCAAACATGAAGAAGACACAATTACGAGATGCTAAGAAGAAGCCTAGAAGCTCAAGGTGGGTGGACTATAGAATGCTCAAGAAAGACTAGTGAGCGACAGAGGGAGTGAGTTATATTGGGATTGCTGTTGGACAATTTCAAAAGCCATGCTTGCTCTTAGGGAGTTCTCTACAGGCATAGATAAAATTAAGATGTCTTGAGAGGAATAAGGCACTGAGCTTTAAGGAGGTTGTTTCTGTAGGTAAGGGGGAAAATACAAGAGAGAAATGGGAAATACAAAGTGTCGGGGGATATGAATCCAGTGATTAAAAGATATAGAAGTCAAGTTACAAGGAATACGGTGACATACAGAAAGGAATGGAGGGTGTGTATTCAAGCCACTCCGCAGGATAAAGATCTAGGGTGGTGGACAGGAAGAACTGTAAGACTATTAGGACAATCACCGTAGTTAGTGATATGAATGTCCTGGAAGAAAGATCATATTTGGATAAGGCATGGTTAATTCATCAGTTTAGTCACAGATGGAAAATACACTCACTAATCAAATTTCACATTTTGCATGCTCTCTATAAAAGTTGCAAGTTACTTTTGCATAGGTGTGTATATGAGCGAGATACAGAGATCAGATATAGGGGAAGGGAGGGAGGCAGGTAGGATACAGGATGAAATGGTGTTAGAGGAGGTCCAATGACTTTGCATACAGATTTTCTATGGAGGTTTCCAAATGTTTGTAAAGAATCAAATCTAAATCCACCCCTTCGCCCTACAGAATTATTTCCATTCTTAGGTCATTATTCCAGAATAAGATAATTAATTTACTGTTTCCATAGGCAAAGAACACAGTCAGGACTGCCACTTAGAACAACAATGATGCTGGGTTTTGAAAACTTTATACAGATTGAAACCCCATCAGAGTTAACAGGTGAGAAAACTGCTCAAAGACGTCACCCCTGGTGATTCATATGACAAACTGTAGCGCAGAGATGCAAGCAGGGACTGAATCCTTACGCAACATGACTGAAGAGAAGACCCTCCCTTCACAAGGAAATGGAGACATGAGGAAGTTAGATGTGAGGTTTCTGTGTACCAGGTTGTTACATGAATGTTGTGTACAGCTGGATAAGGAAGGCTAGGTAAAGGTTACCCAGTGACTGCAGGTGGTCTGTAGTGTCAGTGGTCCTAAAAATAACGAAGAGTACTGACATGACTTGGAATGTTTGTCTTTGTACCTGAACAAGTATAATTTTTCTTTCAACCTTTGGACCTATAAGCACAGATTTTATCTGGGTGTAATTATCCTGATTCCATTAACTCAGGGTCTAAGTTTCGGATGATTTGGGTCAAGTCAAAAAACAGCTTGGGTTTCTTGCTGTGGCAAGGGACTAATTGCTTGGGAAGATTTATTTTACTAGAGTCCCAAATTATTCATCAACTTGGGACTTTGAAATCATCATTAGTGAAAAGTAAGGCAGAGCGCTCACCTCACAGCCTTTCTTGTCCAGCTGTGTGTGGAGTTCTTCATGTAACAATCCGGTACAGAAAAACCTCACCTCTAACTTCCTCATGTCTCCATTTCCTTGTGAAGGTTTCGTAAGGATTCAGTCCCTGCTTGCATCTCTGTGCTACAGTTTGTCCTATGAATCACTAAGGGGTGGGGTGACATCTTTGAAGTTTTCTCACTAGTTAACCCTGATGGGGCTTCGATCTATATAAAGTCTTCAAAACCCAGTATCATTGTTGGTAGGCGATTTTTCTACCCACTGACTACATTAAACACTTAAGTGCTCCAAAATACATATTATTACTGTTGTTATTTACTGGCCAAGTATCAGGAAGAAAAATTGTGGAGATCTGTTACTATTTGCCTTTTCCTTAGAGAAAGTATCTGTGATATTCTTGTATCCCCTTCTTTATATTCCAGCTTTTAGTCCGAGGTGGAATGAAACATTTACATTTGTTATTCAAGTGCCAGAACTAGCACTGATACGTTTTGTTGTTGAAAATCAAGGCTTTATAACAGGAAATGAATTTCTTGGGCAGTACACTTTACCAGTTCTTTGCATGAACAAAGGTAATGTTATCAAATGTAAGATGATGTTATTATCATTTACGTCTACCTCTATCAAAGCCACACTTTGGTCATATCAAGTTTCTCTGTCTCTTTACCTACATCAATGGGATATAAAGGGAGTTTGAAGTGGATCCATGTACTTTCTTATGTGGAACTGCAGAGATATGTTCTTTGTGTGGACAGTGATGTAGGGATGTTGCGTGCTAGGATGCTAGGGAAACTTGGTGTGTGCTTCTTTGCCAGTACCGTAAATCTTCTCTTTCAGTAAAAGGTAGTCATGGCGACAAGAAGATGTGAAGGAGAGGGATAAGACAGAAGGAAACCCTGACTCATTCTTCTGCCTGAGCACAGTCCTAAGAGCCTGGGAGCCAGACCTTTTTGGATCATTTTCTGGGCTGCCAGCATGGTGCAGAGTCACCTTCCCAGAATGGTTTACTTAGTGCTACAAATGGCTTCCTCTCAGGATGCTCACTTTTCTATCACCAGCTGAAGCATGCCAGGAAGCAGGCAGGCTCTTTTGGAAGCAGAGGGTGATGGGTAATTTTGGATCATGATGCCCTTGTGAGAGGAGACACATGAGGTGTGGACTCATCATGGGGACACACAGAATTATGGAAGTTAGAACAGAAGCTAGAAATGTTTCATTTTTATGAAAAAGTATCATACTAGGTTGAAAAAACTATGACTGCAGCCACAGTATTAACTATGTGAAGACACTTAGCAGATGACACCTTCTTCTTCAACAGAGGCCATCACTCTTAATTTGTTATTTCTAATTTGATATAATTCCTCTTCCATAGGTTATCGTCGTGTTCCTCTGTTTTCCAAAGCAGGTGCAAACCTTGAACCTTCTTCACTGTTCATTTACGTTTGGTACATCAGAGAGTGACTAAATGTACCTGACATGTTAGCTACACATCACAATAAACAGTTCAAAGGAATGTTGGTACCTTTTCTTTTATTAATCATAAAAAAAACTCATTAAGTCAGAAATACCCAATGCATTCCTCTTTAAGTGGGCAAAACAGAAAGGGGGAAATTAAAGGCATCAGAGGGTGCACACGTGCCATTCTCCAGCTGCTGATTTCTCCTGTGTGTCTGCTTCCAGGGTTGCATTTTCAATTGCTTGTGTCACTTTTAATGAGTAGAATTTACAGCTTTTAAAAGTATGCCTGTTCATATAAGACATGTTGGCCAATATTTAGCAGCACAGAAGATGTGAAATTGAAGAACATTTTAACTTCCTGACACCCACCACCACCTATTGCAGTGGGAAGGAATTAGATTGCCAGGCCCTTTGTGCCCTCTTCTATCCTAGAGAGTAATTAGCCCCTGAATTCTCAATCTAGTTCTTAGATGCCGTGTGCTTGATTTGGTACCCTGTAATTATACAGACATTTTTATAAGTGTGTATGAAATTGATTTGCATTCCCACTATAGTCAGGCTCCGTATCTATAAAAGAAATCTATTATGCATACTTACATGCTTGGGTCTTGAATTAATTTACAGTATTTTTGAATCTGTCCTTAATGTACTTTTAGATTGTCTCTTGGTCAGTCCTCAATTTTTCACCAACAGTGAGATTTTACTTGGCTAAAAGTGGTGGACAATACGGTTCCTTATTAACTATTCTTAAAAAAAAAAAATCAAAAAACCCAAAATGAACAGACAAAAACAAACAACAAAACCATTAATGATGGGTCCACCATGCAGACACATTGAGTACATCTGGCAATTTTGCACCCCAGTAGAAATTTATTGATACCAAATCCAACTTCACATGTAACTAAAAAACCAATATACAATCGTTTATTTAAGATGTATTCCAATCTCATTATCCTTTGATGGCTCATCTAGCAATCTTTTAGCAGATGTCACCTTCAACACCAAATAGTAAAAATGTAAATACCTTGTGAATTGATATTCCCAAGCTTAAGGAGCAAGTGCTGTCCTATGGCATTCAAGGCATGGCCTTACACTCTTTTAAGGGCTGTATGGGTTATTGTGGAAAGTCTGCCCTCCACAGTGCTTAGGTTTCTCAGGAGTAATGCTCAGCTTCCATTCAGCAGACAGTGGGTGGATCTTGCTGAGTTCCCTATTGTAAACCCGCAGCAGGGGTGGGGGCATTCAGCCACTGACTCAAGGCTCTAACCTCTAATCTCTAAGGTCTTTAGAAGATCTGGAATTCCACTGGCTTTTAAAGGCTTTCTTCAAGTAAGTTTTCCAAACAATGTGTTAATTCTGCACTGTAATAGACTATGTCTTGTTTGCACCATTAGGCTTTGAACTAGACGAGAAAACGATTACGCCTTCTCTTCTTACCTTTCCCAAAGGTACCAATTAAACTCACTCACTGGCTTTGAAACCTATTTTTTTTATTCGTGTGTGTTTGTGAAGCAGCACTTGCATGTGCTTGTGTGCATGCACATGTGTGTATGTGCACGTGGAGGCCATAGGTGTCCTGGGTCGTTCTCAAGGAACTGTCAGTCTAGTTTCTTGAAAGAGGGTCTCTTACTTGAACTCATAGATCACTAGGCTGGCTATCCAGCAGTCCTCAGAGATTGACTGTTTCTCTCTCTCTCTCTCTCTCTCTCTCTCTCTCTCTCTCTCTCTCTCTCTCTCTCCCTCTCTCTTTGTGTGGGTATTGGGGGATGAACTCAGCTCCTCCTGCTTGCAAAGCAATCACTTTACTGACTAAACTATCACCCCGCCCCTGCCTACTAATTTTTTAAATATTCTACTCTGTCTATGATTTTTGAAGAAATATTGTTTTACTTCCCATCCAAGCATTTTGTGCTGTCTCTAAACATTTTTGATTACATTTCAAAAATGTGTGTTGTTTAAGATTTACTATTTGAACTGATGTTATTGATTATATTTTTCCCAAGAATTTTTATTTGACATTACCCACAGAGGCTCCACAGCCGTGGGATGTTCTCACATCTTAGGAAGACTGGGAATAGTGTGGGAAGTCAGCTTCAACTCTTGCTTCTTAAGCATAATTCATTTGTAAGAAATAATAGTGTCATGAGGGGAAGAAAAGGCTAAATGAACTCCTGGGACCGTGATGAAGAAGGCCTTTGCATTTCAGACTTAGTAAAAATGTCAGTTCCTCAGGGAAGCTGTGCATGCTCGCTCAGGCTAGGTTATATTTCCTGGTTTTGCTCGCTTATGCTTACAACTGGTAAAACTGACAGCTAGGTACAGGCTTTGCACCTGGAGTTGGGCACTGGGGTGGCTAGAAGCTAGTGTGGAATTTTCACTGGGGTTGGGGTTTCCTTGCAGAACATAAACAGCTCCAGATCCACCCATTCTACTGTGATGGAGCAAGTGTGTGATCAATGCTCAGTGTGTGTCAGAGACACGGCATTGTTGGAACACTGAAGTGTCCAGTACTCCCCTCTTCCGGCTAATGTGAAAGGGTTGACTCATCACCAGTTACAGCTTTAGCTTCCATTTATATCTGTGTATAGATAAGATGGTTTTTCCAATCATGGACTCACTTCTCATTCTTTTTTTGCTAATCTCTCTCTCTCTCTCTCTCTCTCTCTCTCTCTCTGTATGCATATTTGCACATGTGTGTGGAAGCCAGAGGTTGATGTCAGGTGTTGTCTTCTATCTCTCTTTCTCATCTTATTTTTTGAGACAGAATCACTCACTGAACCTAGACTGGCTGGCCAGAGAGCCATCCTCCCATCTCTTCCTCTCTGGTGCTGGGATTAGGTGCATGCTGCCACACTTGGACATTTTATGTGGGTGAGTACTCTTTCTTGTTCAGCAGGCCTTTACTGACAGGACCACCTCTCCAGTGCTTTCAGTACCTAATCCCGACACGTCCAATGCAGAGGAGACTTTTACTTCTTCCACTTAACTCATTTAACCCAAGCCCATATCCAGTAGAGACCCTTCATAACTGCTTTCAATGCTGTGGCCTTTGAACACAGTTCCTTATGTTGTGGTGACCCCCACCATAAAATTATTTTGTCTCTACTTCATCACTATAATTTTGCTATTGTTATGAATTGTAAGGTAAACATCTGATATGTGACCCCTGTGAAAAGGTCGTTTGACACCAAAGGGGTTGCCACTCACAGGTTGAGAGCCGCTGCTCTACAGAGACATCCAGTGATGCCCCGTGTGCACCCCCCTCATTGCAAAGAGCAATGAATCCAACTATATTTGGCTCTGGGGGTCTGTGGCTGGAGAAAATGGCACAAGCTTAGACATCTCCCATTATCTTATGTGGATCACTGTGACATGGAAGTTAAATGCTGTCAACTCTGAGCTTTTTTAAAAAAAATTTATTTTTTTAATTGAAAATAGATTCTCTCATATACTATACTCTGACCACAGTTTGTTTCTGCTGGTTCAGAGCCTTCAGTTACAAAAAGTCAAAACAAAATCTCTCAGCCTCCATGCGCCTGACTTCAGAGTGGGAAATGGTGAGCACTATAGGTTAAATGACAAGCTGGTTGCTAAACAGAGAAGCTGCCCTGTCTCTGAAAGCTGCTTTCCATTCAGCTATCAAAAAGAAGATTCTTCATTTTGAATTTTGCATAAGGAAGGGTCTGTGAATGTTCTGATACAGAGCATACACTGTAGAATGGAGCCTCAACCAGAATCCTTGTGCCCATCGCAGGGGAAACTTGGGAGTCTCCCCAGGGAGAGGATCATGTTAGAAGTAAGCAGTGAGTCAAATTCTTACTGTTGCTGGGCTCTGATGCATGCCTATATGAAGTGGGACACTGATTCAATGGGCCAGGTAAAGTTTTTTAGGGAATGACATCAATAAGGTACACTCACAACACAAAACAAAGTAGATGCCGCAGTTGATCCAGCTGTCAGTGTCCTGCTGTTCTGCCCAAGGGCGATGGGAACAAACTGCAAGCCATACTTCTCTGCCACTTGCTCCTGCTCAGACCACCCAAGAAAGCACACAAACCCTGCCCCATGGCTTTTAAGGTGTCATGTATCCTAGAGAAGGCCACACCCATAAATCCAAAGGACTCCATCCAATTGGTCATTGGGCTGAATAGCAGAATTCCCACATCTATAATCCTAGCACTCCTGAGACTATGACAGGAAGATCATGAGTTCATTGCCTTTCTTCTGGGTTGATAGTTAAGACCCTGTGAGTTCCCAAAATAATAATGTTTACTATTGGTTAAAATCCTTATGAATACTACAGAAAAAAAAGTTGAAATGCTTTATTTTCAATGGAACAACTCTCTGAAAAAATAGTTCCATATTTATATATTATATATCATATAACCATATCTATAGTTATATGTGGTAGTTTGAATAAGAATGAACCCCATAGTCTCATATATTTCAATACTTGGTCCCCAGTTTGTGGAACTGTTGGGGAAGGATTAGGAGGTGTGGCTTTAATGTTTAAAAGGCCCATGCCATTCCCAGTTCGCTTTTTCACTCTGCCTTGTGGTTGTGCCTCAAGATGTGAGCACTCAGCTTTTGCTCCAGTGCCATGTCTGCTTGCCTGCTGCCATGCTTCTTCACATAATGGTCGTGGATTAATTAACCCTCTGAAACTGCAACTCCTCATCAAACACTTTCTTCTATAAGTTCCCTTGTTCATACTGTTTTTTTCACATCAACAGACTTAGACACGTAGCTAGAGCTACTTCCAGTCCCACCTGGGCCAGTGGGCACTCAGACTCAAATAAACACACAGACACATATTATTTAAACTGTTTGCCCTAATGGCTCAGGCTTCTTGCTATCTAGTTCTTATATCTTAAATTAGCCCATTTCTATAAATCTATACCTTGCCAGGTGGCTCGTGGCTTACCAGTATCTTACATCTTGTTTCTCCTGGATGCAGCGGTCTCCTGACTCAGCCTTTCACCTCCTAGAATTCTCCTCTTTCCTTATCCTTCCTACACTATACTTCCTGCCTGGCTACTGGCCAATCAGCATTTT